TATTTTCGGGATAAAATGTTCTTCTCGTCGCGATTCAGCTATATTTCTCCATAGTGAGCAACGTATAGGATCTCGAGGAAAACTGAAATAAATACGTTTATTATGCCATGCCATAAGAAATGTACCGATGTTTCAATTGTTTTAAATTCAAAATCAACGTAAAGCCAAATTTTCATAATCCTGAAAACCAATTCATAATAAAACCGTTGTGCTTTAGGGAGTTTTGGATGCTTATTACAAAGAAAAGATTGAGTTAGTTAGTTTAGTTAGTTTTGTTTAGTAATATTCTAAAAAAAAAACCTAAAAAAATACTTTCGGGATTATGGAAATTCATGCAAACGTTATTTCGGCCAAATGTATTTTCGGTCTTCTGATTCGTAACCCCAAGCCGTAGAAAGAGTACAACAATATTTGAAAGTATTACTAACATGTACCTATTAAAAATATTTTAATAATAACATTAGCATCAAAGCGACTCTATGAAATTTTTGTTCTAAATATTTCAAACGCTTGTGTTTCAAACAATTGAAATTGACGTGTTGGGTCTCGTTCAGTCTTTTACGCAAGCAATGAGTCGGAAAGAGACAGTTAGCTATTTGATTATTTTGATTGCTTTTGTAATTTATATTTACGATTAATTTAAATATAAATTAAATAGTAAATATACGAGTGCATAAAATTACACTTTTAAATGATAACTATGATAACACAATGTAGTACTTACTGAAAATATGATATACCATCCTGTTTTTTCACTTTAGTTGAGTAATTTTTACAAGATTTTACTACACAATATGGCATCATTGACAAGCGCGCTGTCAGTCGAACAAACGAAGACTAAAGCGGAGTTTGACGCTCTGTATACGATTTTAACGCCTTACAAGTTCGGACACTTTTTAGCGCGGACCCGACGTCCATATAATTGTAAGTCAATGGTCCTGAAGAAAATTTAGGCGCTATTTATAAAAATGAATCTTCATGCGTGAACAGCCACCCTTAGAGTCGGATGATTTCCTTCAAAATGAAATGGGACCACTATGGAAGTACCCCCTTTCCAACTAAAAAATAATCATGAAAATCGGTTCACAAATACCGGAGTTATCGCGTAACATACATGCAAAAAAACATACAGTCGAATTGAGAAAAACATACAGTCGAATTGAGAACCTCCTCCTTTTTTGAAGTCGGTTAAAAATTTGAATGCGTGCCCCACTTTTCGCTGCTAGGTGTAAACATTGATACCAACATCGATCGGAGACGCCCAACCACACACCCCCCAACATCACATTCCGCGAAATAAAAATAACTTAATACAAACGATATCTAAATTGAAGATACATAGTTCCGGACCTCATTCTATATCAATAAAAATCTATAACAAACTCCCAGAATATTTAAAATCAGAATCAAACATAAACAAATTCACTAATGTATTGAAAAAATTATTAATTTCTAAAAGTTATTATGACGTGGACGAGTATCTATCTCCAAGATAAATTATAATTAATGTCTGCCCCTCTCCCTTTCCATGTTGCGATGCCTGTCAAGGTGCATGTGTTTGTTAATGTATAAGTATATTTTTGTAACGACAACACATGTAAAGCACTTATAAATAAATAAATCTACATCTACTACGCCATGTGTGACATTTTCCCAGTCAGTTGCCGAATGTGGAAATTTTGCATTTCTTAACGGATATTTAGATAAGCAAATTTATATGGAACAGCTAGAGGGTTTCATCAGTGCAGAAAATGAAACAAAAAAGTTTGTCTACTTAGAAAATCTTTGTGTTTAATGTCAAAATTGAATGTGAAGCTGTGGAGAAACTTTCTTTTAAGAGTATAGAGAAGAAAGAGAAGAAACACTGCATCTATTACAAGATAGATGATGACAACCTGCTCAGCGTAGTCGTCTTTGTAGACGACTTTTTCGTATTCTGCAATAATGAAGATATGAAGAATAATTTTATGAGCTAATTAAAAGCAATTTTCGTAGTAAAAGATCTAGGTACGCTTAAAGACTGCCTAGGAATGCGTATCACACGAATCGGTAATAACATTTCACTCGATCAAACTAAATGTATTGAGCAAATCATCGAGAAATTTGGCATGTCAGACGCTATCCCCATGACTACCTATAGAACCTGGTCTTCTTCTACCTACGAAAGACTTACCTCACCAGCAGCTCATAGGATGCTTAATGTACATCTCCATTGGCACAAGACCGGATATTTCCCATACAATCTCACTCATAAGCCAATTCAACGCACATTACGGGGAGGAACATTGGCGAGCTGCAAAAAGGGTGTTCCGCTATCTCAACGCCACCAAAGACCTGAAGCTCACTTTTCACAAAACCGATTCCCAACTGATTGTTTTCTCAGGTGCGGACTATGGGTACACCCATAGTCCGCACCTCCTATCCTATTGATTGACGGTCCATACCGGATATGTCTTTCCGTTAAGTAGATCATCTGTTTCGTGGGATTCGCAAAAACCAGGGACAGTTGCACAGTCGATAACCAAATTTCTGAAATTTTCGGCAACATCGACAAATCAGTAACAGTTTTTAGTGACAATCAAAATTCAATTACCATAACAAAGAACAACAGCTATCATTCACGCACTAAGCATATCGACATTAGACATCATTTCATTCGCGACTCCATCTGCCAAAAACAAATTCATGTCGATTACATTTTATACGCGAACAATAACGCGGATATTCTCACTAAACCATTACCTAAACTGCGACATCTAAAATGTACAAAAATGTAAGGTTTAAAATAGGTTAAGTTTAATTTTATTTATATCTGTATAGTTGGTGTTAATACAATATACAAACATACACTGTTTGTATATTGTATTTTAAATTTATTGTTGTACTGTGATTTGTAAATGTTATGCACAAGTTGCTCCCAAATAGCAATATAAATTGCTGTTATATACAAGGTGCTCCTATTACAGGGAGGTACTAAAAGTTATTAATTATAATACAAACACTAGCATCCTTTTTAAGAACATGTTAAAAATTTGATATTTTTAATTGTCACATCTATTGTTTTTCACTTTTTGTCGAATGCATCCTGTGGACACACATACGTTTTTCCCTTTTAGAAAGCTACAAGATACACATACCAATGATCGCTGGCATACACGCCCAACGTCGCGTTCGGCGACACGGGCGGCTTAAAGACGTTTATTGACGTCAGTATCTTTTGTTTTACTCTTTATCTGTTTAGGTTTTTTTTTTGTTTTCTTCATTTATGTTTATTTATTTATTTTGTTTTACTTTTTAATCATTATTGAACACGTCAAACCCATTAGAGAAAAACAATACCTCAAGAAGACACTTAATAAAATCCAGACAGATAAATAGTTACTACCTAACCAAACATGTATACAATTCGGTGACTTCTCCCTCCGCAACGTGTCCGGATCGAAGCCTAAGCGCGCTAATAATGTGACCATTAAGTATTTCTTAAATTCATTGCATAGCGTGTAAAAGAAACTTTTATAAACGTTTGCATTAATGTATGAGAAAATATATGACAACGCATCAATTGGCAATAGCACGACAATCGCGCAAATGATTTTAAATAGGAAATTTATACAATTTTAACATAATTTGTTCAAGAGACGATACAACCTCAAATGGCTTTGGTAGATTCCGCAAAATAGTGAAAGTGTCGAATCAATCACTTTGGTAAAAATATGTGTAAAGTAAACTTGAGGATATAACACGATTCCTAAACGTTTTCACAATGAAAAAAAACATACACTTACCTCAAAATTTTACAAGAAAACCGCTGTATTCAGGTACTTTACATAATTATACCAATGATTTTTTTTATAATCAACTGAACTAAATAGAACACGTATAGTATTATACGATATATATTTTTGAAATGGTTTTAACTTCGTTTTTAAGAAAATAAATTCTGAAATAAAGCCAGTTTTCCTGCCGCTCTAGCCGCGCAATAGAACCGACTCAGTACGGGGAATGTTTAAATTCGATCTGCGGTAGTGTCGAGTGTAATGTAGTTCGTAGGGGAAGTCGGCTCAAAGCGGCCAAAGCAGGCAAAGCGGCTATGCTCGATTGCTCGGTCATTTCAAATGCTATAGATTCCTGTATACAAGGCTGCATAGCCTACTACCCCGCTCTCCCCGGGGCAGTCGCTTGGCACCCATAGGAACTCGCAAGTGTGCGCACTCCTGTGACGAAAATTTTAATTAAGTAGTTCCGTTTTGAAAAATAATGCGACGTAAGTTAATTTGGTGTTGATCATACCTTACTTTCTTTGCTGCGAATATACTATTTTACATCTGGTAGTGTTTTTGTAATATTTGTTTGAAGGTATAGATACATTAGTAGGTTTCAATTTTGTTTTAAAATAAAATCGTCAAGAAGGCAAAGTGACTCTAAAGTGAATATGAAACGTATAAATAGCAAAGTTGTTTCTTGTAAATAGTGAAGAATTATAAACGAAAGACAACGCAGGCATCGTGAGACGAGGTGTGTTATAGATAAAAGAATTCAAAGAAAATAAGGCTTCTAAAAATCCACAAAAGTAGCAAATCTTGTTTTATATCTGTTGATGTTTTTGTAATAGTACATTTTTGTTGATAAATAGATATCCAAATTAAAAGTACCTATCACAGTTCGCATTGCATTTAATGTTATCACCTTCCACAATTATTATTTTCCACAGAACTTTACGCACACTTTAGGCACACCCTCCGGCAATTTGGGTACGGCTTAGTTAATTTACTAACTGTGATCCTGTTTGTAAATTTGTATGAGATTGGCTTTATTGACTAGTGTCAAGGTCGTAACTAATATCTATTGTCTTACCAGTTCTAATTTGGCTCAAAGTTAAGGTACGGCTTTGAGCTGACTTCCCCTATTATTTTTTGAATTTCATTTTTGACGTATGATCATGTGAATGTATTATACCAAATGTACGACATGCTGGCTTACATTTATCTCTAAAATTATAGGGAGGGTACCAACCATATCCAGTGAACGAAAAGGACTCGGCGAACTCGGCTGGATCGTATCCAAATTACCCACCGTATCCAGCGTACCCATTCACAAGTACTGGGTACTCAGGGTACGGAGAGCTAACCGGTTTCAAGCAAGATAACAACACACAAACGTCTGGATTCGAAGATCCATATGAACGGAAAGCGTTCATTTGTAAAGTAATTAAACTAAATCTGTTATAGTTTCTTCACTCATCTTCACTCACTGTGACAACAACCACCGTGGTTCGTTATAGATAAAACAACTGCCAGTATTATTTTGTTTAATTTTTTAAAGGCAAAATCTGTCTCAACACTTATGAACACGAGAGTAGTAGGGATTCGAGAGGTTTCGACCAGTACGTCAGCGCTCACAAAACCCTCTCTTTTTTTAAATTTTTTTTAAATTTATGCCTAAAAAGACAAAAACGGTGATTTCTTCCTTTCTTCCCGTCTCATCTTGTGTCGTGTACCATATTCTAAAACAAATATAATTACTGTCAATTAAGCACATTAAGATACCATTACTGTCATTTTGTATACCTACTTGTGTAATGTATTTACAAATAACACCGAAGTAAAAAACCATCTTGCTGTACTATTTCGTTCACAGTCACATCTATCAATTTGTGCAACAATATCACACTACGAATCTACCTCTGCAAGCTGTTGTACCACTCTACAATCATTACTACGACTAAAACTAGTCCAGTTAATGTTCGATTAGAAATTGAAACTTCTCAAGATATTCCAAGTAATTAATACCAGTGCTTACTGTATAATTATTAACGATCGCCTTGTGGAATATAAAGTAATACTTTGAGTAATACTGTGCGCAAGTTATCGTGATATTTCTAGTTTGAATAATACTTAATATGAGTACTATTGTGGATGTTCAGGGTTTTAAAATTGCAAATAACAAGTTTATTGTGAAACAAATTGCTATTACACGCTATAATCAGGTGCATTTCTTTTTAATTAAAGCTCTATTTCCTTTTTATGACCTAATTAATATCCCGGGCCGGGAGAAATATTTGTATGACCTACATTTATTTCTCTCGTGAGTTTGGGTGTAATTTTTGGTTGTCTATGTGTGTGTCCTTGGCACCCGCGATACAGGGTTTCCCTAGTGCGGGGCTATGTTGAGTGTGTGCGTTATTAAAAAAAAAGAAAAAATATATAGAAAGATAAAACGTAGACAGGATAGAAAGAAATCGGAAAATACGCTGGAGTGAAGGTTTTATACCATATGCCAACCACAAAATGGTGGTTAGTGAATTCCTAAAAGATAAAATTATTTATTGTAAAGGTTTTGAAAAAATGTTGTGGATAAGAGATATAATAGGAAGTAGTAATGTTTATAATTTAGAAAATAATGACTGTCCTAATATTAATAATTTATATGAGGAATATTCATCATGTGCGAATGTATTTAGTTGTTTAAATCATTCTTCAAAAGAATTTACTAAATTTAAAACGAAGAGTTCGTTTTAATGAGATCAACATTTAAAACTAAATTTTCTGTTCATTTGAGCTGAGTAGTTGAAATTTTAAAAATTAAATGTAATGTCATAATAAATAAGTCGGTTCTTGGAGGTCTGCAGAACACCACCACGGTTCGTTTTGTTATTTTTGAGTATCGATTATCACATTGCTAATTTTTATTATTTACATTGCTAATTTTGATTATTTATTACAATTCATTAAATGACCTGCATTTTACTTTCACTTTTGAATTGCTCATGGTAGGGGAGACCGGGCCTGGTAGTTCCCGTGGCAAGTTGTTCTCACAGCAATAACTTTGCAAGGAAAATATATAGCAATACATGTGAAGTGCGTCGTTAAAGCGTGGGGTGATGCGTCTTGTCGGCGGTCATTTCACTTATTCTGGCGACGACGGAAGTGTGACTATGTTCGTGGAGCTGTGAAAACATCACGTTAGTACATTTTTTCTTATTTCAATTTATTGGTCTATCTTTGTTTAGTACGAGCCCTATACCCCACCTAGGTGGGGTCGGGCTCGGCCTGCGGCGCGTGGTCGCTTTCAGATTACGGGGTGTGCTTATACTCTTCGGTGGCACAGTGATTAGTACTATGGGCGCTTGATGAGGAGGTTCCAGATTCTTATTTGAGCCAATTTATGAAAAAAATATTTTTAAGTTGGTCCTAGTCAGGGTATTCTAGGTATTGACTTCAGAATTATCGTTACTCTGGTACTCATAGTACAGGAAATTCCCTAGTTTGAGATCAGAAACTTTTGTCTGGCATTTTTTCCCTAAATACTTCTCTTTTTGGCGTAGCTTCCAATAAAAAAGAATCCAACAGAGAGACGGTCGAGATACAACAACGCTATGAGTTATATCAAGATATTATTTCCACTACATCGGCAAGTATGCCTTACATTTTGAACAATTGTGAAATCTAGTCTTTGGATACTACCTACGTAAGGTGGCGTGCGGACGCTTTGGGCTTCGCCCTCCACAACACCTCGGCCTACGGCCTCGGCACTTATGACTTTAAAAAAATTAACATAGCTCTTTAAAAAAATTACCATTGCTCTTTAATGGCGGCCATACTGATGATAAATGGCAAAAAGTAAATTTTGGCTGCAAATTATTATTAAACACCCATAGACTTATGCCGATTTTCAATCGAATTAGAGCAAATTTTCATCTGCCGCTAAAAACACTTCTATGGCAGCCATATTGAAAAATGGCGAAAAACCAATTTTGATTACAAATTATTATCAAGCACTCCTAGAGACCCCCATATGCCAATTTTCAAATGGATCTGAGCTATTTTTATTCTGCCGCCAACGAACGCTTCTATGACGGCCGTATTTGAAAATGGCATTTCTCGTGGCCTTCACATGCCAATTTTCAGTCGAATCAGAGCAAATCTCTTTCGGCAGCTACTTTTAACGAAAAAAAGCACTTATATGGCAGCCATATTAAAAAATGGCGAAAAGAAATTTTTGACCCCAAATTGTGATTAAGGACTTCTAAAGACCCTCGCATGCCAATTTTCAGCTGGATCAAAGCAAGTTTTTCTTCGGCCGCCATTTTGAAATCGCCATCTTAAATTTGTTTCAATCCAGGCAGTTAACCAGTGTTACCCTCTATGACATTCCTTCGAGCACCTTCTACCTATCTCTAATAGTTTCCGTGATAGGAGGCTTTGAAATTTGTATGGCGGCCATCTTGTTTATTTGAATTTCGAACATTTTTTACTTCCCGCGGAAATTGACCAGGGTGTATCTTATAAAAATGTACAATAATCCCCCCATGTATTATAGTTTTAGCAGGCCGTTGATCACTCATTTACATTTTCCACGTTCAGGTCTTTTCATATTTGATTCTTTACCTTGGAGCCTATCCGCGTACAACGGCATAAATATCTTTTTTCCACCGTATCGGGAAGTATGCGTTCTATTTTTCTAAGTGAGTCTAAACTTGTAGCTTTATATATATAATAGGCCGATTCATACGTAACTTTTCTAAATTGTAGTGACATTAGTAGGGAATCTTATCGTTTGAGAATTTTTTTGATTGATTCTATTACTTTGCCGGTATGTCAGTATTCGTACAACAACATAATTTGGGGCTATAAATTCCTCCCTCGAGGGGTTGGTTGTTCCTATGAACAACTTCCCCAATTGACCTGCAATCATACTTAAAATTCTGATGGCCATTTTTCTTTGTTTTAAGGATGCGAAACTACAAACGGGCTCATGTCAAATATTTAGACAAGATGATACAGTCACTTATGTGTCTCTACTGTGATTCAGATAAAGAAATGAACGATGAATAATATTACTGATGAATGAAGAATAAGAATGTAGTTGTTTTTTTTTAAGTTAGTTGTGCATAATATAAACATTATATACATACAATTATAAAAAGGTAGTTTTTATTTAAGAAAATCTTTGTTATCCTGTCATAATATAGGCGGAACAATTTGCCTCAAAGGCGGTACAACGCGCCCCAAAGCGGGGCTGAATGTTCCACTCCGAAATTTGTCAAAAATTTGCCTCTATGAAAAAGACTATTGAGATATTAGTAGAAATGACTATACTATTACAAAAAGCTATAAACATTTATTCAATATTTCCACGTGTTGAAAATCAAATCCTTCATTTTCAGTACTATAAATCTTCCAAGTTATTTGAAAATCGGAACGTTCAGCCCCGCTCTCCCTTACTTATGTATATACCAGACAAGGAGATTATTGCGAAACCTACTTCTTTATCATAATTGTCTTTGTAAAATTAATATTTAGATATATAATCATCAACGATATTCGACGCGTATGCTGCCGCCGCGCGCATCTCTATACAGAGTTGCCAACTAAGCGATTTTGTCTCTTTATGTGACATTTTGTCATGAAAAGCGTCTTTTATTTCCCTTTAGCGACAAAAAATTTGCTATGTTTTAGCGCGTATTTAATTAGATTTAATCGTTTAACATTCTTTTTATCTTAGTATTCAGGAGTCTTTTGCATAGATATAGAAAAAAAGGAAGATTTGGTATGGGGGTGTGGTTCGCGTCGCCTCGATATGATCAAAATTATCATATCGAGGTGACACGCCTACAAACATCGCCACAGTGACATGGCGATCGTTGTACATACAAGATCTCTCGTAAAGCGTGAAAATACCAAGTTGTAGCAATACACCTTGTGAAATTGGAATGAAAACAAAAATTTTAAAACTAGTGAGATAACATTCCATCGGCTATTTGCATTTTTAGTTACTATTTCTATTATTATTCAATGTTTTCTTTTTGTCTCCATAGAAATTTCTAGACTCAAATATAATGATGTTCATTTACTATGACTGATGTTTATCGACAATAAATTTGTACTGAAATGTTTGAATTTCTTACTATGATCTTTGTAATTAAAGTCCCTATCGAAGCGAAAAGCATTCACGTTAACTTGATTTCTTTTATTTTATTATTATTACTAAACCGTTTATTTCGAGGAACTTTAACACAACTCAAATTTCGAACAACCGTTTCAATTTCATGTCAAATTGTATGTTGCTGTTGCTGTTGCTTGAAGAAAAATGTATGTGTATTATTGTTTTAGATAATTTAGATATTTAAATTCCATTGTACTCGAAAATTAAACGTAAAGTATTTTTAATTTTTAAGTTTTTCCAATGAGTTCAGAATAAAAGA